ACGGTGGAGAAACCGAGTCAGGGAAGAATTCAATATTCTATGAAGAATTAGAAACGGATAACATCCAATCGGCAATTGTATAGACACTTTCTTGTAAAAAAAAAAAAAAACAATAAATAAAATTAAACGGGACCGACTTGCAATTTGTTGCATAATTTTTGTTGACTTCCTGGTTGCTTTGGCGACAAAGGAAAAAGTTCGACCAATTACATTCTTCTCAGAATATAGGTTTTCGTTAACAACAATTTATCATTGCGTAAGTACTTCAGATATAAATCAATTTACAGTATACAAATATCCGCCCTTTCGATTTCAATCCTAAAATCCATCAGGCGGTATCAGCCCGGTCGTATTTTACACGTAACTTCGTAATGTATTTAGTTACGATAGGTGCGTTGTTAGGATAAGGAAAACACAATTCGATTTCCCGGTGGCGTGGCACAACGACAACGAAATAGCGCGATCGTCGGCGTCGCGGTTTACGCGCGTTTCGCCGGCCTTCCGCCGCGCCGGCGGGGAACGGCCGCCGCCGCCGCGGGATCCAACAGCGCTGCCGATACAATGTAACCGCCGACCATTGGTTGCCGGTGACCCGCCGGGGGCGCGGTCTATGGGCGCGCGTGTGACCGACTCCGCCGCCGCCACGGAACGGTTAATCAAAACGTTTGCCGGCCGCGGCGGGCGGTAAGAAGAGAAACGATCGGCCGGCCAAGAGGTCATCGGGCGCGCGGGGCGACGGGTATCATCGCGCTACGCCGCCGCGGCCGACGCCGTCCGCCCGTCCGCCGGCGAAAACCGCCAATATAATACGGACGTGCGGTGTCATTACACAATATACAGGGTGTATTGTATGCGGCCGTTCCGACGGAAAACGAGTCCGTTTTGTTTGGAACATCCTCATGTCCCCGCCGTGTCCGTCCGTGTACGGTAGGTTACTCTATGCAGGTAGTGCACTTGCATTGCTGGTGGTCGTTGATTTGGTCAACACGAATATATAAAACGAAATTACGTATGCATATCGTTCGTAACATTATTATTATTATTGTTATTAAATATAGATACACCAGCCGGGTGTTAAAAATTAAAAAAGCACACCTGCTTTAAGAATTTTCAAAAATGTTTCGGTCGATTATTTACCAACTGAGGTGTTTAACTTGTTCAGGTTTCGATACGTATGCGTGCAATAAACTGTTCTATGGATTATTGTTTAAAATACGTATCGAAACGGAGAACTTTGCACGCTCGCAGAATGGCCTCAAACTATTGTTTCAAAACAATAATATTACGACAACACAAAGTTATACGTTTCCTGCGCTTGGTAATATCATGTACATTGTTTATGTTATCAGTAAACGATCGAAAAACGAAGAACAATAACAGCGCACCTCATAAGTTGTTACGCAGTAACAAAAAAAAAAAAAAACAAAAACGGTCCAGCAGTTACATTAATGGATCAAGTGTATTTATATTAAATTATAAAAAATTGTTTTATTTATATTTTTATAATTTATGGGCACAGGTGTCTGCGGGTATTTCATACTAGTGTTGTCATTTTTCATCATTTGTCTTGTCTGCTTAATTCCAACTATTAATTGTAAATATTATTTGAAAATTATATGTTTTTGCTTTAAAATATTTTTCTAATAATGTAACTATATATAAATTAATTTTGTGTCATTATTTAATTTAATTAATTTAGTCATATAATCAATGAATCGAAGGATACTGAAAAAAAACCAATGCCAATTGTACGCCCTGTACATAAACGTATATATATTTTTGTCACTACTGCCGTTGATCGAATCGCGCGCTTTTTCCCGCCCGTCTATACCTATTACACGTTACGGAATTATAATCCGACGCCCGTGAAAAACCGCAACGGCTGAAACTGCCACGCTGACGCGTGGGCGAAGTAGGCGGCTTTACAAAAGCCACTTAATAAATGGTATACCTACACTTTTCGACCCTATTGTGCTTATACACGTCTCGTTTGTATTTTACGAACAAAACCCGTAAATATCTGTACGTGTCTAAGTGTACCAATCTGTATTTTCTTATATAATACAGCGAAAAGGGCTCTGAAATACTGCAGCACCTCTATATAGGTACACATTTAGACAGCTCAGCTAATTTTTGAAAAAATGCATGTTTCGACGATTACTATAGCAAAGGAAATTATATACTCATATATTTATCACGGTCTGGTTAATATATTTTGTAAATTACAATTTCAAAATACATTTTATAATATTATATTATTGTGAAATCGTTTAAAAATTATGAGTGTAGCCAATAAGCTATGGGGATATTAGTTTTACTTAAATTTATTTATATTTCTCGGAGAACACTTTTTGGTTCAGTATAAATGATAAAAAACTAATTTTAAAGATGCATAATTTTAGCCCAGTGATACTTTTTACTAGGAACAATTTTTGAAATTAAAAAAAGCTTACCCCCTAAAAGTTAATTTATTTTTTGTTTCAGTTTTTTTTTTAATTTTTTTCGGCTATTGAAAAAAAAATTAAATGCTCCTCAATTATTCGTATCGTAGGTACCATAAAAGACGCACACTTCTTATCCGATAGTATTTTATTAGAAAAAAAATGTTTAGGTTTTAAACAGTTTTTCTATACAACTGACAAAAAACTAACAACTAATATCGATACATCGATTTTATTTTTGTTTATTTTAAGGTTATACCTTTAGCAACAAGGGGGGATACACGACTTCATAAACTTTTTATAAACTTCTATACACCGGCCCACTGCACATGCACCGGCACATGCTACTATAGCTATTAACTCAAGGGGCCCCCTTAAGTCAACATTTTCAATGAACTAATCCCTTATTTTACCTGCATGCATCTTTTGTTAACAAAATTATTATTTTAGTATATAAAATCAATATTGCATATAACATGATATGTATACGTTTCATCACTTGTTTTTTTGAAACGTATATTAATCATAATTATTTGAAATTATATTTTCTGTTGTAAGTATAAATATCATGTATCGTTTTTGTGAAATTGAAACATTGTTTCAATGGTACAGTTTGAGTTACTTGCTCCGGACATTGACAGTTCTATATATGGGTAAGTATTACAATATTGCGTGTAACGATAATGTTCCATAAATATCACTGAAATGTTCCATTGCACAGTTGGATGTAATATATAGTGGTTAATTTGTTTGAATTTGTCACACAAACATTTGTTGTACGACTGTAATTATTATTATATTATATTTTTTATTTTTACATAATGTAGACACACCATATGATATTCTAAGAAATCTGTGCCAAAATAATAATTACTTAGCGACGACAATAATTATTTATATTGTAACAGTCCATGCATTTTGGCTTGAACGGCTACGTCGCAATATCATAATATATTATTATATGTGTATAAATATTTGCTTTGACTGTTTTACAACTTTTTACACACACGTACATTATATATATATATTATATTGTTGGCTAAAGCACGTATACGTATATTATATTATGCTCAATAAAAATATTTATGGATATTTATTTTATGATTATAACATTATAATGTTGTACGAATTTATTTAATATCTGAACTAATGAGCGAATACTAGAAGTAATTTGAAAACATAGTTTTATACAAGAAAATCAATAAAAATGGAATTGATCGCCATAATTTCATTAATAATGTGCAAGTATACTCGCGTATTGTCAAAAATTAACGTGAAATTGATTTGAAATTGATAATCCGGAAAAATCAGAACTACCTAACCGCGAGTGTATTTAATAAAAACAGCTATTATACCGTAAAGAAACTGTATCACAAAAAAAAAAAAAAATTGTAGTTTGTTTTATAACCATGCGGCGCGTTCGAAGTACATGAAACATAATATTATATTCTAACAAGCAGTGGAAATGAAATAATTCGGATTTTTAGACATAAAAAAACTTTAATACCGGCGCGGTGGTTCATTTTGTCATTAACGAACGCCATTTCGTACGCAGAAAAACTGAAGGGTTAGCAATAAAAATACACAAAATTATTATAGTCATAATTTTTTTTTTTTTTTTTTAATAACCGACTAAATGGGGTGGACTGTCTGCGACTAGTGCGCCACATTACTATCACCCCGCCAAGTCATAATTTATTGGACGTCAAAAGATTTAACAACAATTTATTGTTTATGAAATTAAGAGGGCATACACCCCAATTATAGTTTGCCTTCAGCTACAATCAAGATTATATACATGGGGGCAGGGAATATTTGTGGTCGAATCCTTCACATTAGGTTTTATTTTTTTTTTTTTTTTCATAAGTTACTCATATTTGTATGTATAGATTTTAAAATCTCCACAAGGAAATATTTTGCTACTATTCCCTCCTGTCACGATACAAAAATGTATGTACACGCCACTGACTACAATATATCTACAATATATTATTTATAAAAGTCACACGTACGACGAGTTTACTTGCGGTACACTCTGAAACTACTCAACCGGTATTCATAAGATAATGTTCAATGTGTGTGATTTGGTCCATCTTAAAAGATATGATAGCCTTCATCTCGATTAATAACCACAATATTTTTTTATTGCAAATTAAATGTTTATTATTGTTCAAAGGGAAATTATAAGCAAGTTTCATAAGCTTCTCACAGATAACATTGTAAATTATGCTGGGTATCACGGCCCACAAAGAGAGATAATGCGTCTTTGATACGCCGTGATTGAAATTTTAAAGTAAACAAAAGACTTTTCTGTTGTGATAAAATCAATTCCGAAAAGTGACAGGAAAACCAAACAACTTTAAGTATACAAATATTAATAACAATATAATAGGTAGTAATATGTTCCGTTTTCAATCCCGTGAATTACGAGAATATATGGGTTTTTAAGTATTTTTGAATATTTACCTTGAGTTACCTTGGTGATACAGATAATAATTGAGTTGTCACGGACAAGAAAACTACTACTATTGTTATTATTTACACTATTATCTAGCAATATCAAAGCATTGCTGGGTCAGCAATTTTAATTAGTTGATCTTGTCTAGATTGCCTCAACGTCTGCCCATAGTGGTCTTCGTCTTTTGGACTAAGAAACTTACTGCAGACTAACTGATTGACCGCCTTCCGTTTGATCTTGTGGATTCCAACATGGCTTCGACGATCCATCTCCGGGATCAACCTTCCTCCTAGTCTCATATTAATCACCACCAACGAATAGCACCTATAAACGTGCCTATGTTCAATGCTCAGCATCATCCTCTTCGTGGCCACAGTGAACGCCTCTGAAATTACGGATAAATATAACTTCAGCGCAGATAGATTCACAGAAACAAATGTAGGAAGAGGTCCTATAAGTAAACAAAATTAAACATATTGAGTTATAGAACTGGTATATTATATTGGATTTATCGAATTTCGGGGTTGGGGATTGAACGCCTAATTCCCTTGTATCCGTGTCTATTTCTTCTTCGCTATAATATATTTTACACAATATGCATACAATAAATCATTAAAAATACAACAGTAATAATAATGATGATGATGATGTTGATGAAGATAACGATTTGTTTATATGTTTTTATTTTGATTAAAACGTTTTGACCGCAGATTGTAAATTTCGCAGACGGTCGTGACTCGTGACGACGACGGCGCATACTGTAATGGCATCATGCGACTATCAAAATTAATATTCTAAAATTATCTGCCGGTTGACGTAGTCGTATTTTATATTCATCAGCAGCACCGCCGTTAGTTCGTCTGCGTGGTGTACACATTTTATATAAGTATAATATAATATTATGTACGGTGTATGATATAGAATCGAATAGAAAAATAAGAAAATAGAAAAATATTATAACAATTTATCATTGAAAGAAGCCTTTTAGTGGTTTTATTGCAATCATTATATTATACATTATATCGAAAAGAGTCTATGCAGAGGCCAGCCCAGAAAAATATGGCTAGATACCGTTGAAAATCGAAACAGAGGACCCTATTGATACAGTGGCGTGCATACGAGGGTGGAACGGCTGTTTAACCCCTTCACCCTTGATATTTGTTTTTACTATACGTATAATAGACATTAACCTAACAAAACTTTACAGACAAGTATTTTGATACATTAATATATACTATAAATCTCATTTTAAATGCTAAGTGTAGCAAAGAATGCATTGGTTTACAAAGATATTTATTATTATTTTTTATTTTTTTTTTTACTGTGTTCTTGTTTCGAAATATCAGGAATAGTACATTTTCTGGGGTGGTCCTTTAAGGACGTTTTTTTTAAATGTTCTCAATAGTTTTCCTAATAAATGGAGGAAAACCGGGAAAAACCGGAAGAAAAAGGGGAAAATATATATTGTTAACAAAGCAATACTAGAATCTGTTAACTGCACTCAGAATTGTTTTCTTGTAAGCAATGGGTAATCGTTGCGTACAGATATACATTCAATTTTCCCCCTGCCTTCCCAAATTCTCAACTACAACAGTGGCCCACCCACGTGTGAAGTATATCAGTCTTTTTTAATGTAACTCCCTCACATCCCCCATCAGAAAAATCTGTATAAGTCACTGTCTCGATAAACTAGGAGGGCGTGAATGAAGAGAGATAGTCCTACAATATCGAGCGAAGTGGAGGGAGATTATGACGCGGTATATACTCTTAGAGAGTATTAATAGTGCCAGGATAGAAGGAAAAGAAGATGTAATAATTTTATATTTATAATTTTTTATTTCGTAAATCCTTTTTTTATTCCGTATACTATAATGTTCACGGGTACAAACTTTTGATATTTTCTAAAAGCAATTCATAGATATTTAGAGTAATGTTTGGAAAAATCAGTCGTATTAACACTCTTAAGTGTTCGTGCATTTATTTCTTAGGAAGAAGGGGTTAAGTCAATTTGCTGAAGTTTTCAGTTCAAGCAAATTAAATTTTATATGGTAATGACATAATTACCAAACGTCTATAATACGACATAATCTAATTGTAGGCGTTCTAAGCGGTTCAATTCTTATCTATAACTATATGATGCCCTTTTTTAACAAACCAAAAGTGCATCATATATACACACACACACACACACACACACATATATATATATATATATATAAACATATGTGATTTAGATCAAAAATTCAAAGAAAACGGCTTATATAAGGGGGGAAATAAACGACGAAATTGACTCAAGCCCTTTTTTCCTATAGGTTATAATATAAGTATAATATGTATATAATAGTTTACAGACTGCACTCTATAGCTGGTCCGTGATAACGGTGAAAATAATCACTCTGTATACTATATATATATATATATATATTCTATGTGCTTGTGTACGTATACGTATTATTTATATATTTTACTTACGACGCGTACGTGTAAAACAATTTATCAGTTACGGTGTATTGCACGCGTACAGTACATAATATTATACATATATAAGTGTGTTGGCCGCCGACAGCTAGGAGACGAACGAAAACGGCCGCTGCGTAGCCGCAGAAAAATAATATAACGGGTGAAAAACACGGTACGCGTCCGTGCGCTTTACGCTTTACGCGGCCGTCAAACGGTATAAATCAAAAAAAAAAAAAAAGGCGAATAATTAGAAACACTCCTAAACACTTTGTAAACGTTTTGGTTTCGGGTCTCCCTTTCACACATTATAATCCAAAGTATAAATATACAATATTATACATTACGCGCACTCTTTTACTCGTTACTCGGTTCCAAACTTAGTCGCTCTCGCCGTTTAATACATGTAAATCATTTCGTCGTCTTTGTCGATGTCGCCGTCGTCGTTGCCGCCGTCGCGTTTTCTAAATCCCGTCTACTTAACTCTAAACAAGCGAACCGTTTAGATTATCGGATTATGTTTTACGCAGGGATATTGTGCGCGACACTTCAAAACGAGTACCTATATCTATACCAAATAGTAAATACGCATAGACATCGTACTCGATACATTGATCTTTAGTGTTTACGTACGAGATAAACTATACATATTTCTGTGTAATATTTCAAGATACTCGGTAAGCCCTCATTGAAATATTATAACATCAAGAAGACTGCGTGCGAACTGTTTTTTTTTTTTTTTTTTTATCTAAAAATATGTTTTAGGTGGTCAACTCTCTCGTTTCTTACTTCTTTCTCTCTTCTTACAAGGTTCATTGGACTTTGACTTTGAATATTTCCGAACGGTATTTTTTGTGGTTTTTGATTACCTGCAAATTCAAATTCCAATGTATCCCATAATAATTTGTATACTTAGTGAGTATGGTGAATGGTGAATATTCGGCGAATATGTGTTTCAGAATGCTATAGGAATCGTTTATTAAACAATATTATTTAACGGTTATGGTAGCCGATTCGTATGATACATTTTTCGAGAGTAGATTCAAGTGTTAATTTTATATTTACTTAGAAAACGACAGCCAATTCAATGGTGCCCCTCTATTTTCGAGGAAATTTGACTTTAATAATAATACATACATATGACATATAGTATATTATAGCTAAAAAATATATATAAATACAGGATGATTCAAAAAATTTCAGAAATAAGAATTTGAATACACGCGAAATTTCACCGAAAAAAATGTGAGTACGATTGGTGAATCACACTGTATATATATAAATATATATATATATATATATTTCTTGTATATTCTCTCCATATTTTGTGCTTACCTATAAAACGCGGTCGTGTATAAATGCGCATAAAAACTCGACTGCGAGTATTCTTCTTTTATGCATATAATATGTTTTCCTTACAACACAATAGTAATAATATGCGTTTTGCTCCGACGATTTCCTCTCGATTCGTTGAGCCATCACTGCGAATTAAATTTTATTGCAACTATACCTATACCTACGATATAATTTTTATAATATTCACGCTCACAACATCTGCACATACAAATATATATGTAGGTATACCTCCGGGTGTATCTAGTTTTATATGTTATGCTTTTAAAGAAAACAGTTTTGTTAGGATTTTTCATATAAGCATATGAAAATATTATATAGAATATAGTATTGTTTAAATTTTTTAATATCGGCGCGTGTTTTGCACGAAAAAAAGATTAAAGTGTTATGTACAGTGATAAGTATATGATATCTATTATTATTTCACAAAAACCTATATAATATAAGAGCGAATTATACGATTATTATAAGTATCTAGACATCAAGAATTTCTCAGTTGGTTGAAGATATATAAAAAAAATAATAACGCAATTTAATATTCATATCTTCTTTAATAAAAATAACAATAATAATAATTAATATCAATACATTTTAATACGTGTTTTATTAACATGGATACTATTAATAAAAGGACAACAATGTTTGACTACGGTATCATCGCCATAGATACTATTCATATTGCAGCATTACGATTATCCGAAAGTAACCGACTGTACTCGAAGACACACAATTTAAGTTACTTTTGGTTTCAGTCCTTTACCGAATTTTCCGTTGAAAAAGACCCGGTCCAATGAAATTCTTATTCCCCGAAACCCTTAAATGTCGACTTACGGGAGAAACCCACAGCTAGTTATTTTAGATAAAAAGTACAATTATTGTTCGTATAGAATCATAGGATAGGATTAATTATGTTAAAATTATACCACTGTGCACTAACGAGACCAAGGGGAACAATTCTCGTAAGGATGTTTTTTTAAAACCTACAAATTGTATAATTGTACATTATATAAAAATAATAACCTAAATCTCCTATGTATACGCCCCTGGGGGTGTTTTGTGTGTCCGGACGCCCGCTTGAGCCATATTTAGCAACATGCCTGTAGTATGTGTTTGATTCAACACGGCTGAATCAAAATATACTTTTTAAATGTATAACAAAAAACATTTTTAATCTTATATTCGTATATACAAATAACTATTCCTACTTTTTGACAATTTTACAAACATTATGAGATTTGTATGTACGGCAATATATTATACCGTACCAACGTTGGGCACGATCATCAATATGTTATATTCAGAAATAAATTACGGAGGAACGAGCATTTGAATTAGACGGACAACCCCGAGAAGAAAAACTTCGAGTTGCGCCATTTAGTCATCGTTGTACAAATGTTATAGACATTTTGAGTGGGCATAAATTAAAATGGAGATTATGATACGCGAGTGGCGAAAAAATGCAGAACCGGAAAGGTCACCTATTTATAATGTATACAATATAATCGCGTATAAAGGGGATATTAACAAAATGTTCCTTATTCGAGCGATGGGTGAATAGCCGGAATATATCTACTGCAGGTGATGTAATTATTTATTGAAAATACTGAACGGTGCAATAAGCGACATGATAAACTATTGCAAATGAAAAACGATTCTGCGACTGGAGCTGTAACTGTAAACTGTATGTTATTTTCTTATTTAACAACTGATTTAAATCTGATTAAACATTAAATTAGTTTTTTTTTTCCCCGACATCTACTGTCGTGTACGAGCATATTATTGGGAAATGTCTTCCGCCGGGTGTTAGTATTGACGCTAAAGTGAATATACGATTCGACGATATTATATGGAGCCGGGTATGTAAATATGAGTGGAAAATGTAACTGCCGCGAGAACGTATAATATTGACAGAAAAAAGAGCGCAAGCATATAAATGGCTGAATCGTGCACGTGGCCTTCGAACGGCGTGACGGCGGCGGCGTCGCGTATAATATCCTCGAAACGCCTCGGCGATCGCGTTAACCGAACACTTTGCGACTTCAAAGTGCTGAGGTTTTTACGCGGGCGGGTAGGTATAATACTGCGGTGGCGTCGGAGGAGCGCGCCGCGCGTATATGTAAGTAAGACACAATAACGCGTGCGGTACCGTGAGCGCGGGCGTGCGAGCGAGCGAGAGCACCACCGAGTGGGGGATGGAGCGGTGGGAGGGACCGGACGGGGCGATATAGACGGGGGAAACGAAGGGGACCCGAGTGTATATATACGAAATTGATGTGCGGGACAGAGAGACGGCGAGATGGAAACGGATTGAGCGGGCGGGGGAGCGACGGTGGGAGAGACGGGAACGGAGGAGCGAGCGGGCGAGGGAGAGAGTGACTGAGACGGAAACGGAGCTGGTGGGAGGTGGGAGAGAGAGAGAGAGAGAGAGAGAGTGAGAGAAAGAGAGCGAGCGACGAACGGCCCAGCTATAAACAGTACGGCGGCGGCGGCGGAACGGAGAGCTGCAGCATTATATAATTATTTGCGTTTGTATTATAATCTATGGCGGATGTAAATAATGCGCGCGCGGCGACGGTGGTAGCGGCGGCGGTCGGAGGGTGGCCAAACAATCCGCATTGAGGTTGCCACCGGTTAGTTAGCACAATCGCGGCGGCAATAGTTCCGACGACGTATATATTTACTGTACACACTCGGACACAAGGGATGAGCGGCACCGCACACAAAGGACCGCGCGCGCGTTTTGTATATACCTATAGCCGCAGCCGTTTGTGTCTTACCGCACGCCCATTCAGTGACGGCGGCCGCGCCCACCCCTCGCACTCGCGCCCGCGGGCCACGCCTACCGCTGTCGTCGCGGCCGCCGCCGCCGCGCCGCAGTCGTTCGCCGTAGCCACTAACCGTGGCCGTTCAGTCGCCGATCATCGCCTGCAGTGTACCTCTACAGCCGCACGCCGCAACGTGATCGTAACCGTCGCCGAACGCACCGCCCCGACGACGTCGCGTATCTACCGGTACGTATTAGAAAACGCGCGTTCTCGCGGCCTTATCGAGCTGTGCCCGCGGTCTCCTCGATTCGCCGTCCCAACGCACCGTTGACGCTCATAGTGTTGCGTCTCGGCGAGTGTTTCGCGTTTTACCGCGCGCCTATCGTCCGGTCGTGTTCCGCGTATTCGTATATGTGCGTCGTCAAATGTGCTGCGTGGTAATTGGCGCCGCCGGCATGCAGGAAGACCACCACAGCACCGGCGGCGGCAGCAACAGCGGCGGCGCGGGCAATAACGCCGCAGCAGCAGCCGCCGCGGCCGCGGCCGCGGCGGCCGCCGTTTTCCTGCCCGTCTACGATTTCAGCCGCCGGTATCAGGCCGCTCTGGACTCGGCCGGTTTGCATCATCACCAAATCCCGGTCAGCCCGTTGGACCTGCGGGGCGGTGGCGGCGGAACTGCGATCGCCATGATGTCCAACTCGACCGCTGCGTCCGCTTCGCCGTCGCCGTGCAGCGTGGGTTCGAACGAGACGACGGACGTGAACGTCGATTCGGCCGACGACGACGACGATTACGACGACATGGCCGCCGCCAGGGCCGCGGCTTCCAACGACAACAACAACGGCGAAGACAAGGCGTCTACGGGCTGCGGCGCCGAAGACGGCAGCGGTGAGAAAACTTCGGGCGCCGGCGGCAACGGATCACCCGTGAAACCGCCGTACAGTTACATAGCCCTCATCACCATGGCGATATTACAATCGCCGCACAAGAAGCTCACGCTCAGTGGCATTTGCGAGTTCATCATGTCCCGGTTCCCGTACTACCGCGACAAGTTCCCGGCCTGGCAAAACTCGATCCGACACAACCTGTCCCTCAACGACTGTTTCATCAAAATCCCACGGGAACCGGGGAACCCGGGCAAAGGCAACTATTGGACGCTGGACCCGATGGCCGAGGACATGTTCGACAACGGGAGCTTTTTGCGTCGCCGAAAGCGGTACAAACGGATGCACCAGGCGCCTTCCGACTTTTTCATCCACCGCGATCACCATCCGCACCATCACCATCCACACCACCATCACCATCCACATCATAACCATCACCACTTCGCCGCGGCCGCCGCGGACCCGTACTCGGTGCTCCACCATCACCACCACTACCCGTACCACTTGGGCCCGCCGCCGTCGCATCAGCAGCCGCCGCAGCAACCGGCGTCGCAGCAACCGTCGCAACCGTCGCCGTCGTCGGCGTCCATGCCGTTGCCCGCGCTGCCCGCCGCCGATCTGGCCCGCATAACTTTCGGTTTGAACCTGCTGCACAACGGGCAGGTGGCCGCGGCGGCCGCGGCCGCGGCCGCAGCCGCCGCGTACAAGCCCCAACAGCCCGCGGTGGTGCAACACTGCGCCGCGGCCCAGCAGCAACCGGCGTACGGGACGACGACATTGACGGGCAGCGGCGGCGTCCGTTTGGCCGTGAAACAGCCGTCCACCGGGTTCAGTATCGACTCCATCATGGGCAAGAAGCCGTCGCCCTCGCCGCAGTCCAACGCCAGCCCCGTCCGTTCCGGCGGTGGCGGCGCGGGCGCCGGAGCCGGCGCGGGCGACGACGACGACGCAGCCGTGGTCACCAGGTCACCGCAGCCGTCGGCCCGGACCAACAACAATTTCGATTCCGCCTTCACGCCGCTACAGCAGACCACGTGGGCCAGGTGATGATGCGTGTCCGCACGACGAGTCGCCCGGCGTAGTTTTGTCCGCACTACTAGGCCTCCTCGTACAGGATTCACCGCGCGTCACCGATGCAGTTTTCTTCCAGCCCGGCACGGCTCCGGTCACCAAAGGTAATGCGAACAAATAACTAATCCATACACCGTACACACACGTGTATAACGTTTAATGCATGTCTAAGTACGGAACGGCTAAATAGGATTTAATCGGAAAACCCGATTAAATGGCAATTTGATTGAATTGCATTTAACGAACGAACGAAACAAATACGTTGTTTCGTTAAACCGCCTGTACGTGTTTACGGTCGATTATCGTTTGGATTTGGTTTTCACGTATATTTTTTTTTTCTTACACGCGCTTATCAATTATATTCGAATCTGGTTACACGCGCGCGCCTCGATCGCTGCAAACAGCGCGATCAAGTATTTCATTCGGGTACCGTCGGCGGTGCCGAATCATCTAAATAAAAATGCAGTCCGGCGAAATATATACTCATGAGGCGCCAACATCTGTAGACAAGCCGATTTCGTGGCCGGAATCGTGGCTAGCGTAGGTTCTTCGCTTATCCGGCGAAGCGCGCATTCGGTTCGGCAACCGGACTTTGTGGCGAATAACGAAGCAGCTAAATGTCCGAAAGAAGACGGGCCCGGTCTCACCGCAGGTTATGGCGCCGCCGCAAGTGCCGGTCGGTTTCGAGAACGCCGCTGTAAAAAGTTCTACGAATGTTCTTAATTCAACGTTTTCGCGCGTTCACTCGAACGGCCGTTTCCCCACAATGCTCGTGAAAACCACGGCGAATTCGTTTAACACGTTATCGCGATAATTCGAAAATGTCGAGTCGGCCGTTTCCGTCACGATGTCTACGGTATTTCCGCGGATGATTTCCGTTGCGATAATAATAATAATAACGCGCGACGCAGCCGGCGGTGTTGACGATGTTCTTGGCGCGCATTGCAGGCGAATCGCATAACAATAAGAACTTCCGACGGTATTATATTTACTTAGCGTGTTCACCACGAGGGCGAAATTAATTTCTCCATTAAGTTTTAGTGTTGTTTAAGTTCGCATTCCTTTATACGAAATACTTTTACGGCGATGTAATAGCGCGCACCGAAAGCGAACGGATACGGCAATTCAGTTATTGTCGAAACACCGCCGATGCGATATCATAGCGCAGCCGGGTATAATAATTAATTTCGCGGACAATAAAAAACAATGATAACACGAATTAAAAAATTATAATTACTGTTCTAACGATCGCGTGTCATCGCTGTACCACAGACAATAATATTATATTCTCCGTACAAATATCCCGGTACATATTTCAACGTCAATTCGAATAAATTATAAACGCAATATTTTATACAGGACCTATAATTATTATTGTGCGCAACATACCGAGTATTTTTGCAAATTTGGTCGGCGAACAGTTTAAAAAAAATTATGTTTCGGAAATTGCATTACGCCCGACGTTCCGAAACAATAACGTACAATCCCGTAATGTGTAAATAGGTTTCACAAACAATTTGTCGGGTAAAATTAACTTTCGGACTTCGCCCGCGGATAGTTTTGTAACGTTGAAATTTTTTAATATTATTTCATATTTCGCTCGGTCGCGAGTTCTGTACACACACACACACACTTTAAGCTTTTTTCCATATTTCCTTTCTTTTACCCATTTTCTCAGTGAGCAATATGAAAATAAATGCTTTTCTTTATGTATGGTTTGGTTACTTTAAAAAAATAATCATTTTTTTCATACCATAAATAACGAAACCCAGTCAACATTGCGAACATAAATAAAGACTATACTTAACAATTTAATTTTCTGTATTTTTTATTAACTTTATACTTTTTATACACTTCGTCCGTGAAGTATTCGACTGTTTTATAAAAGCAAATTTAATTTAGGTACACTGTTTGCAAACTGTTATTTGGCGTTACTAAGGCAATCCTTAACAATAAATAAATAATAACATTATACCTTTATGTGCGTACCATATTTGCCGGTTGTTTAAGAAATTATTAATTATATTCTTCGTAATTAACACGCTGAATGACCTCTCCGCGATAAACTCTATCACAGTGGTACTTAAACTGTGGTCCGCAGCCCTCTGGGGTCCGAGATTTCATGCCGGGGGTTCACGGCGGCTCTATCGGTAAATATTGTTTGATGATGACATGAGATGTTTTGTTAAAAATGTATTGGTAGGGGGTCCGCGATTTCCAAAAGCCTTTCACCGGGGGTCCGCGGGCACAAAAAGTTTAAGAACCGCTTCTCTATCATCTAAACAAACCGTACGCCAGTCGGATAAGTAGTTTCGGAGGAAAACCGTGAAAAAGATTTCCATTTACGCTTTTATATATAAAGAAGATTATTTATTAATTTTTCGAATAAATAATATAAACATCGGGCATTAAAAATGCCAAAAAAAAACAAAAAAAAAACCTAATATTAAAAATTCTGCGTATCTGTTATTGTCAAAACTTGCCGAATTTGTTTTAACTTTATTCGAGAAACCGAGTTAAGGTTACAACATTTCGGGAAAAGAAATACTTAGGTTCAGTTAAAAGTTCTTTTTTTTTAAAAATTCAAATTATTTTATTTAGCATACGTTCTTAAACATATTTTGTACTCTAACATAGTTTTAGTCGGAAAATAAATGGCAAACCCGTATGTATAGTCACACGGTTATTTTTACAAAGAACTTCGTAAATAATTTTTTAAAACAAACTCTAATCAGAACAAAATAATCAAGTTAAAAGAAATGACCGAGTTATTTTCGAAAATTCTATTATTATTTTTTTACCTATAGGTCTGTATAGTAAGTAAATATTTACTTATTATAACTTAAAACTTTTACCTTTTTGACTATAGTTACCGTCCATCATTGGAAAATTATCACTCAAGTTGGTCCTCGATTAAAACGAAATAACAATTTGGTTTGGGGTTTAAGTTTTACAATGGTGTATGTGTATTTTTTTTTTTTTATAACTGTAAACGAGTTTTCGACCAGAAAATTGTCTACAACCATCAACTTTTCAGTGGTCGTTTAAAATGGTATTTCAGGTTTATTTGAGTGATCTTTGGTTGGAAATTGCATTGATATCTGAATGCAGGAAAGAAAACGGCGAATATTTTCGCAACTAAGTTTTCGTTTTGTTGTAATTTAGTGAAAAATAATCGTTGAAACGTGCCAATAAACCAGACGTAGCATAATTTTCGAAATATCTCGAAAGTTTTTGTGTCATTTTAATTGTATATTTATTTGTGTTGAAATAATATTTAAAGTCGAAAAGAAATAATATTTTTATTGGCTAAAATATTTCAAAGTTATACACCCAAAATCAGTGTCATTCCGAAATGTTTGGAAAGACACTATCTAAACAATTATATGTCTGTGAATTATAGTTGTAAAATAATAAATATGATTTTGTTCGTTTATTAAGAAAATATCTGGAAAATTCGAAACATTTAATAGCATTTTGAATAAAAACCTTTGTACAGTTGTGGGGTTCTTTGAAATGGCGGGGAGAGGAATTTGGAGCAAAATGACTCGGTTTAGTAAAATATGAATTAACTATTTAACTAATGCGCTACACTGCGCAGCATTGATTTCGATTTAAGGAACAGAGAATAATATTTTACATAGCAATATCGTCTGTCGGAGTCAGATTTATTAATCATTATCTGACTCCTTCCCAATCCCCGTTGTCCAATGAAGCTGAAATTTCGCGCAATGTCCAGTATTGTCCTAGTGACAATACGACGTGAACAAATATTTTTAAAAATTAGTAAGCCAATGTTGTAGGTGGGAAAGATAGGATATACGGGGTGATTTAGGTTATATCTATTCATTACAATGAATCGTTGCAAACGAAAACCAATCGTATTGAAGTCCGATTAAACGTAGATTTATACATTTTGATTTTAATTCAGCCGTGTATTGATTTGTATCAATGAATTGAATTACAATTGTTTTGTGATTTTTTACGTATTTCAAAATAATATTATGTCTGAAATCGAAACGCTTATAAAAATAAATTACAACATTATTATCCAAATAAAATAAAACGTCAAATAGCTCCGAACAGGCGACTCGAAAAACTCTAGAATGCCTATAAAGTGCACTACGATCATTTTTGACGAAATCGCGTAAAAAAGAAAAAAAAATCCAAAATAACAGAAACCGTTATCGCATAAAGATTCCCAGTTTCCGAAAGTTCGTAAATAATTCTAGTTTCAACAAAACAACTATATTTTGCCAAGATTATTTACTGAAAGAAATAACTAGGTAATATTAATTATCAACTAAGTTATTTTCATCAATACTATTTTTTTTTTTTTAACTATCCAAATTAAAAGTTATCAAAAAAAAGATAAAAAGTATAATTTAAATTTAATTTTTAACTACCTAGTTACTGTTATAACTTTGGCTAATCATAATCCAACTGGCTCACGAGTTATACCTTAAGAAAACGAATTAATGCATTCGTTTTAGATTTTAGTTTTACTATGACGCATGTTTTTTTTGTTGTACGTTCGCGCGTGAGCCTGCAAACGAGTTTTCGACAAGAGGACTTGCCCCGATCTCGTCGAATTCAGAGGTGGTTTCCGATGGCGGGCACTTCGGATCTCGTAGGTACATTAAAGAGGTCATGTCGTTTTGGAAATTCCTTTAATATTACCCACGCATAATATTACGGGAGGACATCGGGAGTTGTAATTTTTTTGGCAAACGGCGATTGCTTTTTTTGTTGTGATTCGGTAAAAATCAACCGTCAACACTTGCCAACATTAAAAACGTTCGAATTTGTTGACTACGGTGTTTGACCAATAACAGATTCGAAAATATCATTGGCTTTGACTGTAATAAAAACCGTTATTTTAGAGGGTAAAAAATGGATTTTTTTTAAAAAAATATTATCGTTATTTTACACGGTATTCCATAAATAATTGTTCTAATGTTTCGGTTTTTTTGTATTCTTTCAGCTTTACATAGACACGAGTCCCGTGCACGGTCGACGACAAATTGAACGAGCCGCGTGGACGCGTGCAATGCAATATTGACGCGAAGGAGAAGCGGACCGGCCGCCCGTGCCATTTTCTCGTCTGTACAATAATTTATATAGGTCCGATATATTTTTTCGTTCGATAATCCCCTTCTCGTCGGAACAATAATTGTTGTGCATACAGAAACAAACAGAAAAAAAAAAACCCGTATAATTTTTATAATAATCAATACGTCCTAGGATATTATTTTTTAATAATAATTATTATCATTGTCAGTAATAATAATACTATAATAACAGTGTACACTCGAATTGTATAACAATAATAATAATAATATTAATTGTTCGATACAATAAAATATTACGATTATAATTATTATTGTTATTACGGGCACTGTATTATGTTTCGTTACATTAGTATATATATATACATATATATATATATATATTATTGTACATAACCCAATATTTATTATAAATATGTACACGTATATATTACATAATAAAATACGATCCTCGTTACCAATTATCATTAATTATTAATTATTATTATATTATTGTTTTTATTGTCGTAGTCTTTTATTACATTAGAAGGCGCGTATAGAGTTATTATTGTGCATATAATATTAAACTTATTAATTATTAATTATTATTGAATTGTTCGCGTAGGAGAACGGAAATATTTAATTATTAACTCGTATTTAATAATTGTATTGAGAAAAAAAAAACAAAAAAAAAAAAAAAAAAAAAAAAAAAAACTATATACATATATTATTATTATTATTATTATTATTATTATAAAAAACGAAACGAGTCCGTTAATATTGTAATTAATTATTAGCGAAATTAATATTATGTACAATGTATTATAATTGTATCTTTTACTTAAGTGCTGTGTTATTTTAGTAAGGAAAAGAAAAACTGCACCGTTTGACGTATAAAAATGACTAAACGACCAAAACCTATCGTTTAATAATATATATAATATATCATGAAAATATATACATCAGTTGTTGTTGCTATTCGGTTTTCGTTTTTTTTTTTTTTTTTTTTTCATTATTATATCATAATCTACAAAATATTCGTAACGTGTACGGGGCGGTTCGAAATTTCCGTTACGGTCGTTTTATTTTGTGAATATTCAAAACGGAGAAACACGTATCGTACAAAAGTTTTTCGATCCATTAACATTTAAAATAATTTGCGCATTTTTCTTGGTCTTTTCTTTTTTGAAGAAGAAGAAGAAGGGGCGAGGGTTGGAGTCGACCGTGCGCTTGTGTGGCCGCCACGGAACCGCTCAGCGCACGACGTTTGAATAGTTATCCTCTGTTCTCCCCCCTATCAATGTTGACAAAAATCGAAAATTTCACCGCTAAAATGTATTTAAACTAACACTCCGTCTGTTTACGGAATTTTCAATGTACGTTCTTGTTTGAATTTCAAATAGAAAAAAAAAATCCACTAAAACCTCTTCAAAAAATATAGTAAAATAAAAAAAAATTTAAATGGTTATAAATCGATTAACTTTTGTACTTGACGTGTTTCTTTATTTTGAATATTTACATTACACAATGATCAACATAAATTTTGAATCAATACGTAAACAAATACTTGTTCCGAATCACTGACGAGACTACGTGGAAATCACGAAAAACAAAGAGCGAAATGTTTCAACAGCGAAAAATATGAAATTCGTCCCCCGAGTACACGTGTATATTATTTTATATTACCGTTAATGTTGAAAATGGGATATTGTTAAATTTCCGTATGGTAGAATCGATTTTCCATTATTATTTTTGATGTTATAGCGAATTGGCTTATTATCAAATTTAAAGGTAAGCGTATTGTTAGTGTCTGAACGTTGATATTTTTCCTATATGTGCATTTTTAAGCGAGATACGCAGATTTTTAAATTGTAATACTTTGCATAATCGTATTTCGGTTAAATATTAAAATATCGGGGAATAAATAACGTTCTTACGTTTAAGTTTGATAATAAGCTAATTCACTCAAATATCAAAAAAAATTAATGTTCTTTTTGAAAAAAAGGATTTTATTATTTTCCAGTGTTTTCATTGGCCCATTTCAACGAGAAGAAAATCTTAATATTCGCTATTATCGTATCCGCGCTGTTAAAACATTTCGCAGTTAGTTTTTTCGCGATTTTACGTGGCGCCCACTGGCTGACCGATTCAATTAATGAACAGCCTAAACCGCCGGGGATAAAAACTTGAAATTTTGAACATAGATTTATTTTATGACGTGGACAACCGATACGAGGAAGGATTTTTTGGAAATTCCGCCACTAAAGGATCGCTGAAACAGCATTTTTATAGCTTTATTGGTTGGTACCTTCGCGACACGGATGAAAATTTACGGGCAATGACGGTTAACTGCAGCGATGAGCACGGGTATTCACGTTTTAATTTTTGTTGTCAAGTCCAATACCGACAAGAGCAAAGCCGTGCGAGACAGCTAGTGATATGTATATTTTTATATCGTTTTCTGCGGTCCGCCAAAAACCGTGTTTTCCTCTCGCTATATGAACAAAAAAAAAAAAAAAAACAAAACAAAACGCATCATCAAACGTACATAATTTTATTGTGTCTTATGTGTCACAACACAAACACTGAAACAATATACCTATAGTTTATACCATATACACATTAGTCACATACATTTCGTGTAATTATTATAGTACCTATTGTTATTCTATTATACAGGGTGAATCTGTAGGATTTAACATTAATTTTTTTTCACGATTGTGTTTAGCGAAATTTTCAAATCCTGTAGATACACTCTGTACCATTATATTTGTGACGTAACCTGTCGAGCCCTCGTCCAAAATCCCGTCTGCTGTATTACGCGTTCGTCGTATACGCGCGATCGCTTTCGATTAGCTCGGTCGCTGCCGCGTCATCGTTGTCACGTAAACCGTTTTAACAATATAATAAATTGTTCCACGCTTTTTTTTCCTCGACGAATTTAAAATATGATTATGATAATCAAACTCGGCGGCGTCTAGTCTTTCGTCCGGACCGACCAAAAATAAATTACGTTTTACAGAAGGCAAACCATTCAAAAATATTACGAAAAATATGATTTGAATAGTATTATAATGTATAAAATAATATTAGTAAGTAATAGTTAATAAATATATATATACGTCGGGTTTATTTTATAAATTACTTATAACCAAATATAAGTCACTTTTGTGTTAAAGTTCAATAGTTTTCTATTATATAAAAATCGGTTTATTTTACTTAAATATGTAGCTCGCCGAAGTAAATGAGAAAACCATGCAAAATACCTATTATGTCCGAACAGAACATTGGTGAAACGCCGTTTATCAAATATAATAAAACGAGTCTCTGCCGGATTTGTGTCAACCGTCATATCACAATGTTTTACTAGTAGTTAGGTAGGTATTTATATACGCGTAGGGATTAAACGGGAGTTGTGTTTTATCTAGATAGGTGCATTTTATAATTCGAGAAGGTTGCTTAACCATTATAGTTTTGCACTTTTTTACTGTAAACGAAAATTGTTATTTCTACGGGTTTTTTTTTTTCAATGATCTAGGATTGTAATTCCAAATCTGGTAGAGGAAAGTTGCTTATGAGCACGCTTTAAATCGTCTCGTCCCGTTTGACGTATTAGTTTTGTACAACAATGTCACCCGCTTATTACACGGTAACAGACAGGAACGGATGACGGAGATCGCATAGTCATAATAATATTATGTTCCCGATTGAAATAAATAACACTCCGTAATTTCGGAGCTGTCGTGAAATATTATAATACGGTCGCCGCTTGATTGAAAACGGCATTGTGTTTGCATATTCATTAGTTCGATAACAATATAAATAAAATCAACGCGGTTATACGACTATAATAGGCACGTGTCTTGTTTATCACGTATATTACCGCAGTGTTACGATATCCACGTTAACACGGCGTTTGAAATCATTTTTTTTTTTTTTTATACTACACGCTGCACAACGCACGTATGACACACCTAAATATGTACGTATATAACAAAATGATATCTATTATAATTTCCTCTCGGTTGTTGTTGTTTTTCGTAAATTATTAAATCGTTACGTACGACATTAACTAATTATTATTATTATTGGTGGTACGGCATACATATATAATGTTATATTTACGCTTTAATAATAATATTATTACGACGTAAACACATTATTAAGACGTGCATTAAATCGATTAAATATATTGTTTCAAATGACAATATTATTGTAACATTATAAACGGTTACTGCACTGCATAATTTCGCTACCTATGTATCTCGATAGGTACGTCTCCGGCACTTGAACCAATGGACGTACGAACGATATTATACACGTCGCTTAACGAGACTGCGCGAATTCCACGAAAAGTTACCCGGATCGCGAAATGGAAACAATTTGTTTTCTACACATGGTGATAAACTTACAAAATCGCATGAACCGGAACATATCGTCGCGAAACGAATACTAAAAACTGATATAAAATGTAATCGTGTTCATCGTTCGACCGTTTTGCACGTTGTATGTATTATAGACATACGACGCATATTACGATTTAGTACAGTAATACGTATAGGCAATACTTACGAATAGAACAGTCCACACCACATCGAATTTTAATATTCCATTTATTCCTGGAATGATATCCACTTGATGGATTATTTCACCAAGTGGAAAAAAAGTGGTTTACATTTCACGAACTGGCAAATTTTATATACAATTTACAGTGTCGTCAAGCGCACGCGTTGCATACCTAATATTGATGGTGGACTTCAAATTCAGTATCGATTGGTAGTGAGATCACTAAAATAATAGACTGAAGTCGGTGGACTATCATGTCTGACGTAAACAGGGATCTTTGGTCAAACACGACGATTGAAGAAACCTCTATATACAGGGGGAAAAAATGCCTTTAGGGGAACCAGGGTTAAGGTTAAGGACAATTGTGTTAAAGAGAACATTAGAAGGCATTAATGAAGCCGGAAACCAAATAGATAGTAGCCGCAGATAACAGAACAGGTATTGGTTTTGTGTATAGGATTTCTATTTAGAGATATGATAGTCTTAAGGGTCTAACCCAATCGAAAGATGAACAAAACGATTTTTGATACATTTTTTTATAAGTACACATGTAGGGAAATTATCTGGAAAACACGAATTTTCTCCGGGGGCGTGAATAAAAATGAAAAAAATTGAAAATTTCAAATGTATCACATTAATAAAGTATATCCTTTATATCCACATTTCGTTTAGTAATGGTTTTATAGTAAACACCCACCCCACCACAAGAAACAATTTTTCCTAAAATGTTTACAGCGCGCCTAATAATATAGATAGTATTACAATAATAATTATTACTATTATTTACGGTAACAATAAAATACCAAAATATATTAATATTGTCAATGAAAAAATATCATTCCCGTTCCTCATAATCACGTCCGCTGCAGATGTGGCCGTAATTGTTAATGAAATATCATACTATTATCATCGTAAATATAACAGAGACGTCATCGTCGTCGTCGCATCGGGCGGAAAGATTTTATTGCCGTGTTCCGAGAAACCATAAACAATGTTTTTTACTAAATTAATATTCGAAAAGAGCATCGTCGTATTAATAATAATAATATATATGACATTTTTTATTAATAATTAAAAAAAAAAAAAAAATTATACGACAATTCTGGAAATAATATTATAATTCCAAATTGTATATTGTTATAGGTTTTAGAGTATAGAAATAATAAGAAGTAATAGATGGTCATTATAATATACATACCTACTCCTGGCTAATACGCCTCTGCTCTCAAAATAACTGTGACAATTATAATTTGAAAGACCCTATGTGTATTATAATAATATTATCGCGTAACGTTTTAAATAACTCAACGCGTTAAAGGGTGTACACCCACTATAGTAATAATATTATTACACAACGTTGCAGTTTATACCGCTACCACTACCGCGGTATAATATGCGCGTATATAGGTG